GTTATGTAGAGCAGAGAAAGCACCCAACAGAACCTTCACTGATGTCCTGACTATAAAATTTTAAGAAATAATGAATCATTGTTATTTTAGGCATTTGGAGTTGTAGTTTTAAGTTTTAATGCACAGAAATACACAGCCACAACACAGACATATCAACATATAAAAACAATGCATTTTTTTTATGGCAAACCCATTTTTAGGACTCTACCCTTCAAAAAATAACACTGCAGGGGCTGGAGCAATAGTATAGTGGGTAGGGTGCTTGCCTTTCACAGGGTCAATCCTGGTTGTTCAATCGCCAGCATCCCATATGGTCCCCTGAGCATCACCAGGAGTAATTCCTGAGTGCAGAGCTAGGAATAACTCCTGAGCATCAAAAGGTGTGGCCAAAAAAACAAAAACAAAACAAAATGCCTCTGGAAATCAATGATATATCTAGGGATTTTGGTATTTTAGTATCATGAAATATTGATGTAACTAACAAGAATCAGTTGATTTCTAGAAAAATATTCTTTATATGCTATAAAAATGCAAGTGGCAAAATGTGCATAACTAATTTTATTTGAAAAGAGTAAGATATAAATGTATGCTAATTCATTTATATATCAAAACACCATTTTGGGGCCATAGCACAGGGGGTAGGGCGTTTGCCTTGCACGTGGCCAACTTGGCTGACCCAGGTTCGATTCCTCCGCCCCTCTTGGAGAGCCCCAGCAAGCTACCGAGAGTATCTCGCCCGCATGGCAAAGCCTGGCAAGTTATCCGTGACGTATTTGATATGTCAAACAAGTGTCACAATGGAGACGTTACTAGGCTTCTTGAGCAAATTGATGAACGGGAAAACAGTGACAGTGACAGTGAACCATACTTGGAAGTGCTTAGGTACTACTCCAGGACTGTACATTGGGATCATCCTGGTGGTACTCCAGGGATGGAACCCAGGCCTCCTGTATGCAAAGCACATGCTCCAGCCCTTGGAGCTATCTTCCCTGATCCCTCCCTTTTTGATGAATTTAGAGAAAAATGTAGATTGACAGTAATTAACATGATTTTCTCAAGAGGAGTTAGCAGGAGATGCATCTGTTAATGGAGACTGGGGGACCTTATCTTAGTATATTTATATTTGTATGTTTGGGAGTTCTCCAAAGACACAAAGACTGGGTTTGTTTTTTTGACAGAAAAAGCCAATAAAATATTTACTTAAAAACAATCAGGGCTGCTTCTGGAAAACAGTATGGACGATTCTCAAAAAATTAGAAATTGAGCTCCCATTTGACCCAGCAATACCACTCCTGGGAATATATCCCAGAGAGGCAAAAATGTATAGTCGAAGTGACATCTGCACTTGTTTGTTCATTGCAGCACTCTTTACAATAGCCAGAAACTGGAAGAAACCTGAATGCCCAAGAACAGATGACTGGTTAAAGAAACTTTGGTACATCTACACAATGGAGTACTATGTAGCTGTTAGAAAAGATAAAGTCATGAAATTTACGTACAAGTGGTACAACATGGAAAGTATCATGCTAAGCGAAATGAGTCAGAAAGAGAGGGATAGACATAGAAAGATTGCATTCATCTGGGGAATATAAAGTAACAAAATAGGAGATTAATACCCAAGAATAGCTGAGATCAGCACCAGGAGGATTACTCCATAGCTTAGAGGCCAGCCAGGCATTCTAGGGGAAAGGGCAGCTGAGATAGAGAAGGGAGCACCAAATAAAGGGTGTTTGGAGGACCCTCTCAGGAGGGGAGATGCATGTTGAAAGTAGACTATGGACTGAACATGTTTGCCGCTCAATGCCTCTTTTGCAGACCACAACACCCAAAAGGAGAGAGAGAACACAGGGGATTGCCCTGCCATAGAGTCAGGGTGGGATGGGGAGGATGGGGGTGGGAGGGATATTATCCATGGTGGTGGAAAATGGGCACTGGTGGAGGGATGGTTATCTGATCATTGTATAATCGAAACCCAAGCACAAAAAAATGTAAATCTACAACTGTACCTCATGGTGTTTCACTAATAATAAAAAAAATGGAAAAAAAAATAATCAGGGCTGGGGATGGAGCGATAGTGCAGCAGATAGGGCATGTGCCCTGCACACGGCCAATCCAGGTTTGATTCCTGGCATTCTCTGTGGTCCTCTGAGCACTTCCAGGAGAAATTTCTGAGTGCAGAGCCTGAGTTACTGGCTGAGTATTGCTGGGTGTGACCCCAAAAAGCCAAATCATCATCATCATCATCATCTTCATCATCATCACCATCATCATAGCTGGACACATAGTTCAACTGGCAAGGCACTATACAGTCCATGCAGCTGACTGGGGTTTAATCCCTGGTAGCCCATACATGGTCCCTGAGCATGGCCATTAGTGAGTCTTGAGCACAGAGCCAGAAGTAAACCCTGACATGTATGGTGTCCCTCCCCCTCCTATTTTTTTTTCCCTAAAAGTTATCAAAGAAACTCAAGTGCATTCTTACTGTAAAAAGAAAAACAGGGGCTGGAGTGATAGCACGGAGGGTAGGGCATTTGCCTTGCACATGGCCAACCTAGGTTTGATTCCCAGCATCCCACATGGTAATTCCTGAGTGCAGAGCTAGGAGTAATCCCTGTGCATCACCAGGTATGACCCAAAAAGAAAAAAGAAAAACATAAAAATGTACAGATGCTATAAATCTCTTCACCCACTCAGGTTTACCTACTTTAAAAGGGTATCTTTTTGATTGGGAGAGAGTACAGTGCATGCTAGACATGTGCCAGACTGGAGTTCAATCCTCAGCATCACATGGCACCCTGAGCATTGCAGAGTGCAGGCCTGGAGGTCTCCCTGAGCATCACGGGATGCAGTCCTGTAGGTCCCTAAGGCTGGGGCCTCACTGCATCACAGGATGCAGTCTGGCAGGTCCCCAGGCTGGGGCCTCACGTAATCCCTGGCACAGGGCTCTTGCATTAAACAGCATTAAACAGCAAGCCAGTGACAAACTGCCCCAAATCCTAGACACATAGGTCTTCAGGTTGAGAACTCTGGGGTCTTCACACAGTAGTTGTAGGCAGCCTCCTCCCCCAAACCCCTGTACTCACTCACATCCCACAACTGACAGTCACGTAAGCTTGTTGGCCCAGTTAAATATTCTGGAATTTCTGGAGCACTCAGGTGCAAATGAAGTCACGTGACAACACCAAATTCTACAATACTGACATTCCAGTATCAGATGGGAAAGTATCAAAGAGGCCAACTAAGTTCAATTAAAAAAAGCACTAACACAGAAGGCTCAACTAGCAACAAAAACTTAGTATACACTCAGTCAGACTTGACCCTATGGTGAGATATAACAATTTTTTTTTACTTAAGTATTTTTTTATAATTCCATTAGCCATTTAGCTGTAATGAGGAACATAAAATAAATTATTGTGTGATTGCTAAGGGGGCAGACTTGGGGGGGCATGGTAGGAAAAATGGGGACACTGGTCACCCTGGTAGATGGGATTGGTATTGGAATATTGAATGCCTGTAACAAATGTATTTTGAGCAACTTTGTAAAACCAGAGTGCTTAAATAAAGGGGGAAGAGGGGAATGGGATAAAACAAAAATGAAAACAAAACAGCCCTGTCAGGTTTTCTGAGAACCCCAGTGGGACCTGGTCACCATTTTCAGTACTATTAGAATACTGTTAGAATACAACTTATTTCATTAATTCTTTATTGTTAGACATTTACATTGATTCTAATTTTTCTGGTAATGAACAACAATGGTTGTCCTTGTATAATGTACATCATGGCCCACTCGTATTAGAAGGGATTTAACAATCCAAGGAGATGGATATTGCAAGCATGCCTTCTCTGGATTGTAGCAGTTTTTATTTTCACCAACAGTTTATGTCAGGAATGTAAAGTACTCTACCCAGACTTCATGCATGCATAAAAAAGAATTTTTCAGAGATTAGCAGTTGGCAACCTTTTCCTGTCCCTTTGCTGTACAGAGGGATCGTGGGTAGAAATGGAGTTTTTGTGCCTTTAGACGCCAAAATTCCTGCGGCTTTCCTGTGGGTGGAACGGGTTACAGGAGGTCAGCCTAGACTAGGAAAACTAAGGAAACTTAAGTTCTGGCGAGGAGATTGAAGAGGAGCTGAATCTTTGCGATGGGCTCCTTTTCGAGGTTGGATGACTTGCAGTGCCATCTTCTGGCGAAGGCCAAACGATTCTACTCACTTGATTGGAATAAAGCACTCTCTGGCTCTGATTGATACCTGGTGGTACTTAGGGCTTACCACTGGCTCCGTGCTTAGGGATTTCTTCAGCCGGGCTCGCTGATGGGGTGACGGAGATCGAACCCAGGGTGGAGGCGTTCAAGGCAAACGCTTTACTATCGCTCCGGCCCTTGGAATAAAGCACTTATTACAATATGACTAAACTCCAAACGGGTGTAGAACAGAGGGGTCTTGGCCGGCGGAGGTGTGGTCTAATTATTTATGCATTTATGCTTTCCTGTTGCCGAATTTTTCCTGGCTTTTTTTTTTTTCGGTGCCCAGGATGCAACCGAGGGCCTCACCCATTCCAGGCATATATTCTACCACTATGCCACATCTCCGGTCCTATACACATTTTTTTTTTAAATCATTCAAAATACACTAAGAAAAAAAGTTCGCTTTTTAAGACAGAATTACTCAGCGTAAGTGACAACCCTATGTAAAAGCTCGTAAGGAAATTGCAAAGTGCTTTTTTCCTGTGTATTAGGTTCGGAGGCACATTTTGGAATAGGCCTTATTCCCAAGCAGTTGGTTAGTGGGCGTCAGCCTCCACGTCAGCCTCACCTTCACTCGGCTCTGAGGCTACAGCAACCTTTCTCTGCAACAGAGCTCTAGCCCCGCCCCCGCCCCGCCCCGCCCTCACCCGGCCCCGCCCACTTCTTCCCGGCCGCCCCCACGGCGCGCCGACTTCCGCGCGCTGACGTCATACGCCGGCGCCAGAGTCGCGCCGGCTGCTCCTCCCGCCCCTTTTCTCAGCGCGCGCTCCGGGGTTCCTGGGGCGCTAAGAAGCAGAGTGTGTAGCTGCGAGTCCCAGGTTCTCCGCCCAGCCCGCAGTCTAGAGCTGGCGTTGGCAGGCAGGAAAGCGGGCTAGACAAGGTGGCCTCCCAGTCCCGCAGATCGCTGTCCTCCGCCCCGCCGAGGCCACTGGCAGCCTCCCGGGTCCAGTTGGAGAGGCGGTACCCAGTCACTCCCCCTGCCGCCTGCCGTTTCCTAGAGGCTTGAAACCAGTTTGTTTGTTTCGCCCCGGTGGTGTGGACTTGTCTCGCGGGGCGTTGCCCCGAACCGGACGGAGTCAAGCCTGAAGGTTTAGCCAAAGGCTGGTCTCAGGGTGTCTCAGTGCCCCGCTTTCACACTGCACCGTGAGCTGCTGCTGCTGCTGCTTCGGCAGACCTGGTTTTTCCTTTCAGGATGTCATTTTTGAAATGCGGGAAGGTGCTTCTGCCTCGATAAGTCCCCTAGGAAGACTTCTAAACTGCTAACCCTAGTCTGATGCTTATCGATCGCCACCGTTATTCCTACTAACGTCCTGTGCCATGGAGGTGAGTTGCACTGGAGGGAAGCAATGACATGCAAAATAGTAGAGATCAGCGTGGAAACGAGGAGACGTTGCTTACTTAGACTTGCTTAGCTGGAGATTGCACGCGTAACTCACCGGATCCGGGGAGGATCAGGTCTTCATCTAATGAATGTTAAATTCTTTGAAGAACAGCTACTGTTACTGAAAAAAGCAATCCCCGAACATTCGCTGAAAGTAAAAATAGCAGTAGTGGAATTAAAACAGTAACTTGGGCATGGATAAGCCATTGTTGCCATTGTTTACCTGTTCGCTCTATTCTTAAATTCTGGAATACACTTTGATTAGAAACCGACAGCCATTTAATCTGTACCTTGTCATCTTTCAGTTTCCATCGTTTAATCAATTTTCATAATAGGCATTAAAAGTTCTTTTTAGAGTTTTTTTTTAAAGACTCAATCCTTATTTCCCAATGTAAGAAGAAACATTTTTATTGCCATGGTTACATTAGAACTCTGTGAAGGATTAAAGTCGCCAATATATGTGGATTGGACAGCCTTTTCTTATGATGCAGCAGTATTGTGGAGGTGATGGAGAGAAGCCAAATCCGGGAGTAGTCCTTTGTTTTTATTTTAGATTTGTTTGATGTTAGAGGGGCTACAGCTCTTTTCCGTTTAAAGTTGCTTATTACTCTCCTTAAGGGAAGGTCAGGAGCCTGTTTTGTGATATAACAGGTTTGGGTATTCAGAGAGATATAAGGGATGTAAGGCACTTGCCTTGCTTGGTGCTGACTTGATTTTGATCCCCTTGAATATTACCTTCAGAGCACAAACCCAGGAGTAGCCCCTCAGCAACCCTGGGTATGTATCAATACCCCACCCTCTAATTAAAGAAATGACCTACCAGGTTTTTGCGCAGTAAGTCACCATTAAGAGTTTGGTAGGGGTAATGAAAGTTGGCCGCAGGAGTTCTTAATTTAGGTCACTTACAAATTTTATTGGCACTATTTCAAGCGAATTATCCAATCTCGAAATTCACAAAGTCCCTTATTTGCATGTTGGTACTTTCCACCAGAGAGGCTGTTAATGGTTATCTGAATAGAATTGCAAACAAGAAAAGTATTTTGAAAATAAGTTAGTGGGAACCCCGTCCTTGCTTTCTCCTTTGCATAATGAGAAATAAGACTGGAAGTCTATACTGAGAAGTAAACTGAGGCACTGAGGAAGTAACTCAAGAGGAAGAGCGCATGCCCAGTGTGTGGGAGGTTCTGTAATGTAGCTGGGCGTGGCCGTGTGGCCCTGTTTGCCACAGATCACAGCTTCTTGTGGCCTCTGTAAGTGGGCACAAAGACTATAAATTGACCCCCCCCCCCCCCCGCCACAATTAAAATGCTATTTTTCTGAGAGATCTGTGCCTCCCTATTATTGCTGCAGCTAGTACTGTAAAGACTGCTGGAACTGGAATCTGTTGATTTTATTTTACCAGAAACGCTTGTCTATCAAATCACCAAAACAGCTGATCAGAGTTCGGTGGCTGTCAGCATGCATTCTAGGTTTGTGGGGTTGCAGGTTTTTACCTTTGGTATTTACTCTTGATATTTTTCATATTTGGTGTAAAAGTTTTATGTTTAGCATTGTGTATTTGTGACTTAAAGAAGTTCTTAACAGAACTTGAAGATGCCTAATTTGAGTCAAGTCTAAGATCTGCGGGGGTGGGGGGATGGATGGATCTGGCCCACACCCTCTTTCTCAGGGGCCATTCCTAGGTGCTCAGCAATGAGATGTTTGAGATAGGGGGAACACACCATTTGAGGTACCGGGAATTAATTTTTTTTTTTTTTGCCGTGGTGGTTGTGGGGGAGGGGCACACCCAATGTTCTCAGAGCTTGCTCCTGGTTCTGAGTTAAGGGATCACTTCTGGTCTGACCCAAGGGACCATATGTGGTTCTGGGGATTGCACGCTGGTCTGGCCCTATGCAAGGCAAGTCCCTTACCACTGTACTATCGTTCTGACCTCCTTTACAATTTTTAGGGAACATAGTTGATAAGCATAATTGACTTGAAAAGTGATACTATGCAGGAAAATCTTGACTGTCAGAGTGGAAATGGGATAGGGGAGATGATTGAGAGGGCTGAGGCACATGGTGTGCAGGCAGTAACCCTTGGTGGAATCCCTGGTACTCTGGGCCCCGGAGCACCCACTGGCTCTGCCTCAAAAGCAGAAAAAAATTGGAAATGAGAAACTTGTTGTTTCAACGTGAGAAATTGTTCTAGCTCAAGGATCACTCCTATGGGTGAGGACAGTATGCTTCGCTGGGGATCGAACCCAGGTCAGCTACTTGCTGGCAGGCGCCTTATCTGCTGTATTTCCTTTCTTATCTGCTGTACTGTCTTCCCAGGGCTTACTTTTGACTCTGCACTAAGGGATCTTATGTAGCCTGTCTTCTTTCTTTCTTTTTCTTTTTTTTTTCCTTTTTGGATCATGCCCGGCGATGCATAGGGGTTACTTCTGGCTCATGCACTCAGAAATAACTCCTGGCGGTGCTTGGGGGACCATATGGGATGCTGGGAATTGGACCTGGGTTGGCTAGGTGCAAGGCAAATGACCTTCCCACTGTGCTGTCACTTCAGCCCCAGTCTTTCTATTTCTTTCTACCAGCATTTATTGTTGGTATCAAGTTAATTTTACATATCGTTTTGAATAATTCATATGGTTTAAAATTCAGAAGGCATAAAAGATGGAAAAACTTTTAACTGCTCAGTTCCCTTTTTTGTTATCAGGGTCAGCAGTTTATTGTGTATCTTTTTAAAGATAAACCTATTTAATGAGCCATTATGTGCATATACCTGTAAAAATTTTATATATGTTTACATATACACAGGGCTGGAGCGATAGCACAGCGGTAGGGCCTTGCACGCGGCCGACCCGACCGACCTGGGTTCAATTCCTCCATCCCTCTCAGAGAGCCTGGCAAGCTACCGAGAGTATCTAGCCCTCATGGCAAATCCTGGCAAGCTACCCCTGTTGTATTCGATATGCCAAACACAGTAACAAGTCTCACAATGGAGACGTTACTGGGCCCACTTGAGCAGATCGATGAACAACGGGAGGACAGTGCTACATATACACAAATATAAAATATGCTCACAGATCTTTCCCTTTAATACAAGGATGTGGTCACTGTAAAGCTTTTTTGACTTCTGTATGTATTAAAATTTTTTCACTGCAAACAATACTGCAGGGGGTTACTTCGTGCATCATTATCTACATGTGGAAATATTTACAGGATGAATCCTAGAAATGGAGTTATATCAAAGTGAAAATATTTGTAATTTTTCTAGATACTGCTGAATTATTTTTCTTAGTATTTATATCAGTTTCCATTCCCGTTGTTTCTAATTTTCTGTAATAGAGTACAATACAATCTTTCTGATTTTTCCCACGTGATGGGTAAAAATGTTTTCTCCTGTAATTTGGTGTGTGTGTGGGGGGGAGGGGGATGGTTGGTGCCGCACCTGGTGGTGCTCAGGGCTTACTTCTGGGTTTACACTCAGCAATCACTACTGGTGGGGCTTAGGGGTTCATATATGGTCGGGAGAGGGGTCTGAAGGTGGGTAGGCCATGTGCAGAGCCAGCGCCTGGCCAGCTGTACTATCACTGTGGCCCTCATCTTTTGTAATGTTTTATATAAATCTTATCTCATACTTGTCAATTACACTTCTCATTGTAGGTTGTTAGATCATTGGTATTTCTTTTGTTGCTAACTTACTCCCCTTCCCTTCCTTTTATTATTGTTGGCCTGTGTGATTGTCTTGCTCCTGTTTTGGTCCCAGAGCTCACCGTGTATTGCACACATACATATGTGTAGTGAACGCATACTCTTATTTATCGTGTGCTGGAGTGCACATTGCATGGCTAGCAATCTCGGGCACCATGTCACCTTGATTATTCACAGATGTGATGTGGTGCAGTTGTGTGTTAACTGCCAAGCGGCATTCTACCACCACCCACACTGCCAGGCTTCCAGGCTCCTGTTGGTAACTTAAAATAAAAGTTTTTTGTTTGCTTTTTGTTTTGGTGACAGGCTGGAGCGATAGCACAGCGGTAGGGCGTTTGCCTTGCACGCAGCCAACATGGCCGACCCGAGTTCGATTCCTCCACCCCTCTTGGAGAGCCTGGCAAGCTACCGAGAGTATCTCGCCCGCCCTGCAGAGCCTGGCAAGCTCCCCGTGACGTATTCGATATGCCAAACACAGTAACAACAGAGTCTCCAATGGAGACGTTACTGGGCCCGCTCGAGCAAATCGACAACGGGAGGACAGAAGTTACAGAAGAAGTTTGGTGACATGCTCAGTGATACTCGGGGCCTCTTCCTGCCCCTGTGCTTGTGCTTACTCCTTGCAGTGCAGGGAGGGCCAGGCAGCGGAACCCCAGTTTCCAGCTCGTCTGTAGCATATCTGGCACCCCAAGTGCAGGGACAGCCTACATACCACGAGCCATCTCTTGACTAGACCCTCCTGTAAACTTTGAACCTCATAGTCTTTGTCTATTTTTCTGTCATATATATTTGCTTATGACCATCTAGGAGGTTTTCATTAATTAGAAAAAAAAGAGTGGTGATGTGAGGAAAATAACTGGTATAGATGTTTTCCTTACCATTTGAGTTTTTAATTATACTGGTTTTTGATAAGCATGAATTTTTTTTTAATTGAGTTACTGTGAAGTACAGTTACAAAGCTTTCATGTTTGAGCTTCAGCCATATAATGATTGAACATCCATCCCTCTGCCAGTGCACTTTTTCCACCACCAGTGTCCCCAGTATCCCATCCCCATCCCAATCCTCACCCTGCCTTTATGGCAGACAATTTCCCCAACACACTCTCTCTGCTTTTGGGCATTACAGTTTTCTCAAATTTTCCCACCACCATTCAAGCCTACCTGTCAGGGGCAGATGTTAGATAATTTCTTTTTTTTTTTCTTTTTGGGTCACACTTGGCAATGCACAGGGGTTACTCCTCACTCTG